GTGGTTATTTAAACGATATGAAATGAAGCGACTTTTCTATATATCTCAGTAAGTTTAGGCGTGGGCAAAAAACCGGTGTTAAACATTTTTTACGTTGCTTTTCACCAAGTGAGTGACGTTTCCAGAGGCCCAACCACCTTAACTCTGGGAGAGGAGGGCATCAGAATGGAGGGAACGCACTCGTGTCTCCTAAGTTGCAGGTGTATATGGTCGGCAGTAGTCTCTTAAAAGCAGATGACCCGTCTGCTCGTTTGCCCCTATACCACAAAAAGTAAAAAAATGTAGATTAACTAGCTTTTGCCCTCGGCTCCACCCGCGTGTATGTCTATGTCTTTTATTAAGAATCAAACTATCTCCATACGAAATTGCATCTGAATCGGTTCAGCCGGTCTTGATTCGACATACAAACTTCCACCGAACTTTTCACCCGCCTAAAGGATGATTTCTAGGATAAAACTATCCTATGTCTTTTCCCGGGACTCAGACTATCTCTACACAAAATTTTACCGTAATCGGTTAAGCGGTTCAAGCGTGAGGAGGTAACAGACACACTTTACATTTATAACATTAGTATGGACGTAGTGGTTATAATGAACCGTAATTTCTTTAATAATCTGTTTGAATACTTCGTGATATGTGGAATATTCTTGTTTTTTGTTGTTTACAGAAATGATAGGTGATAGGCCAAGTGTCGCGAGTAGTTTTCCACTCACATTGAACTGTGTAAATATTATATACCTACTATTGCTGCCAGTGAACTACGATGGTATTACAACCGACTTGAGATAAAGAGACCCCACGGCTTGTTTTGACATATTAAATGTCAATAAAGTAATCTGTAAATGTACTTTATAATTACTTAATAATAATATATATAGATTGCAGATGCAATGTTAATATACTACAACATCATTTTACTATCAGAATAGATCTAAATAATATCATTCGAATTAGTAAAAAAGCTTTTCAGACATTTCAGATACACGAATGTAGTTCTGAGTGAGTTGTTCTGAACTGACTAGGATTGACCAGGTTAGGAATGAATACATTAGAGGAAGCCTGAAAGTAGTGCCCCTAGATGAAAAGTTGCAGATTAACCTGATATAGACTTGTGATGCATAGATATGAGCAAAATGTGGTGAAGAAAGTTTATATATGGAAATTACTCAATACTTTATTGCACGCCATAACGTTACGGAGATGTTACATTGGTTTTTCATGTGCGTTATGGACTTCGTTGGGCACGGCAGTGTAGGAGAATTCTTGTGCTTAGCTTTGGAAAGCGACTAACTGGGTCCATGAAAGCCTGCAACTCAGGAGTCACAAACGTGTTGCCGGCCTTTTAGGAAGGAGTACGCTCTTTTCTTGAAGGTTTGAAGGTCGTATTGGTCTGTCAATAAAACGATAACTTATTCCACAGATTGGTTATGCGAGGCAAAAAGTGTCTTGCACACAGAGATAGAGCGCCAATTATCCAGGTGATGGGGATGAAAATTTTGCCGTCAGGATCGATGGCGGAAAGTTGCAGCCGGTACCAGTCCGAACAATTCCTAGGAGCACTCTCCATGATATATACGATAGAGAATACAGAGTGAAGCTACATCTCTACATGCATACATAAGGCCAAGTGATCGAGCGGATATCTTTGGGCTACCGACAATTCAAGTCGCTCTTTGTTGGATGCGGTCCAGACGGAGAAGCTGGTACTGAGGTGCCCCGATTATGTTACAATATATTTATATTACATTACAATATTTTAAATTACTATTATTTGTGGGGTGTTATCATTACGATATTCTTGTATTGTGTAATTTGATTTATTGATTAATAATGAGTTTAATATTGCTGTCTTCACTTTGAATAGTATCTGAGAGCTTGTTATATATTATGATGGACATGACGATTGACGGATGTAACAGTAGAGGACGAGCAAAGAAATGATGTAAGAGGGAATAAGTGATCTGACGACAGATAGAGAAGAATTGAAGAAGAAGAAATCCCATTGCCCCAACTCCTAATTTCCTTTTCCCAAATTTATCAGGGGTTGAGGCTAAGAAGATGATAATTGATGATGATTAGATTGAGGATAATTATTTAGTTTGCTAAATATTTGACAAAACAGAGATTGTTGTCATTGTGTGTGTTGATCTATGTCTTTAGAGTTTACACAAGAAACGATTTCAAGTAACTAAAAAAAATAATTATGAAATAAAGACATTTGAGTTTGAGTTTTGAGTTTGATGATAATGCAGTTCTGCATACAACACACAAGCATACATTACATTTGGTAAATTAAAGCGACAATATAAAGCGATAGATTAAATTAATACGAGTATGTATAAAGAAATATATATATTTTTAGAATATTTGTTACTTTATATCTCTAATCTCTAATGCCACCGGTTTTGACAAAACCACTCATGAACACACAAGCAATACATGTTACTTTTATCTATTTTAGCAGTATCCCGCCACAACCTAGCTCATAGTTATCAACGAGGCAGTCACGCAGCTAACAGGTGTTATCCGTACAAAAAACAATGGCCTAAACACGGTACCGACTCATGTCCTATGGAACCTCTTCAACTTAAACCGACACTTATTAATAACGATCCTAACAACACTATTGAGAACCCAATAATGATCAGGCAATTATGCGTGTCACCATAATTTATGGACAAAATTTCTGACCAGTTTTCTTTACTTTCACTACAGCCTATTTCACACTAAATTTAAATAAAGAAAATATTTCTCAAAATGAATTTACAAATATTTTGTAAAAAATTGTAAAAATATAAATTTCATTGTTAAACTTAATTTAACAATGAAATTTCAATTGAAATTTCGTCCTACTCAAGTATGATAACGATAAATTTGAAATACGCATCCTTGGTCGCCTATGAAATACTAGTCATATTTCTCAATTTACCAAAATTTCCATTTAAATTAAATACATGCCACTTGACGTATTTGTTTACTACGCCACTACCAACATAGTAAAAAGTATAATTATAACAGCTAATAATATCTAACAAAGCTAACAAGCTAAAACAATGTAAATATCAGATCGAATGATTAAAAAGCAAACAAGTTTTTCACATTCATAATACTTGATAGTTCAGTTTATATTATCTTTTAAACATGCAAGCAATATTTATGGAATACTATTTCAAGAGCGGGACTAGTAGATGCACACAGATAAGTTTGATAAATGACGCTACATTTATAGATCACTATTGTAGTAAACACAAATAAATAACATAAAGAATTAGTTTATTTTTGTAATGTTATCTACGACAAACAATTTTACAGTCTGCAGGTCTTTATTTTTAGAAATGTTAGTCGTCAATTTGTATTTTTAAACAAAATAATATGACTAAGCATTACAACCGATCTATTTTTCAATTCTGATGGTGGCTATCACTTGCATTTACTTGGTGCATTGGAAAAACATTCACGAGCCCAGGAACCCAGATGCCTCCGATGTTATCATGAGAGAACCATGCGTTGCACATATAGTACGGAGTGTTACCAGTGTTGGGCCAGTGCGCCATCAATTAAAAGTCTTAAACATTTGAAAAATACACGCTGTAGAAGTTATTATACTGCTATATAAATAAAACATTTCTAAAGTTGTAAATTTACCTGTATGGATAATCATATCGTGCAGTAACCTATTTATAGAACTCGTAGTTAATATCAACTCCTATAACATTTTCTCATATCTTATCAAGCATGTTCACTAGAAGTATATTAAATTATTAATACATGAGCCATTCTTTTAATTTTTTGTTTTCGCTATCGCTTTCCCGTAGTAGGTTAATAAAATTGTAATGGTTCAAACTAACATCGTCATTTTCAAATGAAAAGTCATTAAAAACGATATCGTTAACTAATTGTAAAAACACAATTTGAAAAATCAACTTTCAATTTTCCATGGCCTTTTATCCCTGAACTTCTCTAATTGCGTCCTCGACCTACACCAACGGTAAATAGATCCCGCGTTACATAAAGTAGAAAACAGTATTTTTATAATTATGTATCTATTTAATATAATGATACTCATTGTGTTGAAAAAATATTTCAATATCGTTAAAGTCGTCGATTGTTGTGGCCGGAGCATTGTATTGATTTTATCACTTATCGACTTACTTATCACTTATCTTGTATTTTATAGACTATTGACAATACAGTGTCGATTAACAATAGCAGCTAAAGTTTTCTAAATGCTCAGTTAAAAATGTATTGTTTCAAATAATTGCATTGTGAAATCTGTATATCTATGACGTAAATACTATTAATAGTATCTACGTCATAGATATTTAAATATAGAATGTAGCTATTAACTTCAAAAGGTAGTTATTCAAACATAAAAAGACTGTTTATTTAAAAAATATTGTTTTTAAACTAATTTTTCTAAAACAAAAGTTTTTTATGACACAACACCATCTGCATTATTTCATGAATCATATAATGTAGGTTTAATTTATTTGAATACCAATGATCATAACAATAACTTAGGGACTATTCATATTTACGTAAATCGTAGGCAACAATGATTCACACTGACGTTGTTCATTCACATATTTAACCAAATATTAACATGGAAGTAATGAATTTAATTATTTACCTTATTATCTTAATAAAGATAATTATGTACTGTCACCTCAAACAACGACGCAATGTGTAACTGGGTGTAAATCAGTTTGTTGTTATCATGGAAATGTAAGACATGATAACACTGCTCAAAGTCTGATTTGCGATTATGTGTGACCTGTTGTGTTTATATGTAGTATGATGATACATAAGTCGCCTATATACGTAGTTATGTGTGTGCACGATCTCTTTACATTTATGACTAGAGCTTTGAGAGTTTGTTACACAAGGCATTACTCGCTTAACATGCCTTAGACACATAACTCGATACTTCAGTTTTTTAACAAAAAAGGGAAACGTGATATAGTAACCAACCCTCTTATCTTTTTTCCCCCATCATTATTATGATCACCAGGCTTTTATCGTCCCCTAAACATAGGGTTCTCCTAAAGTGGGCCATTGAGCTTGATCGTTAGTTTTTCCCCATCATTTGGGGCAGATTCAATACATTTCTCCAATCTAGAACTCTCTAAGACAGCAGTAATTGACTCTACTAGCAACAGAACTGGGTGGGCCACTTTAACTTGCTAACTCTTAAGGCTATGTCAGCTCAAAGAAGCGCACATCTTTCACTCCACAATAAACTTCTTATAATATGTTCTCAGTCAAGTTTATTTTCATGAAGTTAAGATAGCCAGAAATAGAATGAAGAAGATTTAATATCTCAAACAAAATAATTATACGTACTTACAAAACAAAAGATAATTATAAGGTTACATATTTATCTGAAGCTTGGCAACAATGTTTGACTTGAATCCTGAGTAATGTAGGGAGTATATAACATTTTATTAGCACAAAATTAACGAAAAATCATATAGAAGTAAAATAAAACAGAAAAATGTAATATGCATGTGAGTTTTTTCTTCCGCTATGACTTCTAAACGCCTCGACAGCTTTAGATGCATGAGATATCGTTAGAATCTTACTTTATCCCGAGTGACACCGGTTATAATTAAAAAAGTTAATAGAGATACGTAGCCAGCTTTCTGAAATGATAGAGCTCGTGCAAACAAATACTTAAGACCAAAGCGAAATGTACGAGAGGAAATCAAGCGATAGTTAAGATAACTTGAAGAAGGGGAAAGTTTGTGATTTATAATGTTTGATTGATGACAAATATGTGCATATTGTGCATCAATGCCTTCACTTTATAAAAAAAATAGCAAACCAACCAAAACTTTGTATTTTTTTACAACTGTGATTATTTACAATTATGATACCTACTAATTTGTTGCAAATAATTTAAATTTATATGTTGTAAAATGTCTAAGATTTTTTCTTCTAACTTATTTTGCAAATATGATATATGTATATAAAGTTGAACACAAACACTCCACAAGTAGGTGAGATACTTACTTACATTTCACATCAAATAACAATGTAAACTTTTTTCCTGCGGTCAAGGAAAACACAATGTTATTGAAATATCCATCAAAACAAATGTGTATAGCATAACAAACAGGGAGATGAATAATAAGGTTTAACGAAAACAATATTTCTACTGGTAAACAAGCAAAGGTCGAAGCAAACATTGCATCGATAACTTTAATAAACAATTAGACACAATGTGATCGTTTTACATTTTATGTGTAGATATATTATGTTAAAAATCCGGTTTAAAAACCGTTGGCAATTCATGTTTCGGCATAAATGGACCAACTCGACAGGAGTGATTTCATTTGATACAAAATACGGTGGATATGGACTATAGACTCTGGACTATAGAGTTTTGTGTAGGAGGCTTTCATATAAAAACCTATAAGGATTGAGTAGGTAATAGGTAGGTAGGGAGTAGGTAATACTTTTTATAGTAAAGACTACATGGGTAAATGAAGAACATCACCGCCCATGGACACTAAAAACTGAAGTCACAAGTTGAGAGTTGTTGGCCTAGGGAAGGGCAACGCTCCTCGCGTTGTATCTCCGGTAACCTCACTCCGGACACCGGTTTTCTGTGACACTGTGGCAATTATATTTTAAGGAAGATACGTTATATTTACACTGCACGCACAAAATATTTGTTCCGTAAACATCCACCATTCATATTTTAATGCATTTTAGAACAAATCATAGTCTTACCTGTGTTAAGTATATTTTAATTTAAATAAATTTAGATGATTTTAAAAAGTTAATTTCAAAAGAAAAATATATTTTCCAGGTGCAGGGATTGCGTATCTTCTCTCTTCAGAAACTATTCGCGGAGACCTTGGAGCAATAATTCCTTACAAGCACTTGAGAGAAGATCAGGTGTTCGGTTTGGAGTTCCTGATGACCTTTATGCTAGTGGCCGTAGTCCTGAGCGTCATCGACACAACCCGAGGAGCGAGGGGCCTGGGTTCTGCACCACTAGCCATAGGTCTATCTATCACAGCTGGCATCTGTTGTTGCAGTCCTTACACAGCATCTATGAATCCTATCAGGAGCCTGGGCCCCGCAGTTATTATGAATCGTTGGGATAGTCATTGGGTGTACTGGGTAGGACCAATGGCTGGTGGTTTGGTCGCGGGGTTAACCTATAGGTGTTTGCTCCTGTATCACCAACAAACGATAGTGTTACAATCATCGCGTATAGATATAAATCGGATGTTGGACGGGCACAGAAGTGAATGAGAATTGCTTTATATTATTATATCTGTTTTATATTACGAATATTTATATAAATTAAATTTAATATTGTTAATTTTATGGGCCTTGACATACTGTCATCGCTTTAACGTCACTTCACTTCACTTTTAAAAGAAATATCCTGTGTATTTTGCTACAATAGAGAACATATATTCTTCTGAAATAACTCATCATCAACAGCCTTTAATAGTCTACTGCTAGACATAGGCCTCTCCTTAGAAATGAGGTTTTGGCCTACTATACCACGCTGGCCAGACGGGTATGTATAGGGTTTGTGTCAAGTTTTCTTTCCCTTTGTAGTGCTGTTGTGCTGCGTATTTTACTCCCTTAGTCAGGGACTTATAGTTCATATTTTTTTCCGCCAGTGCGGATAGTCCTACAAAGATGTGTCACAGAATTTTGCAAAAAAAAAACGCGCGGTAAAGTATTGCTGTGAGGACGATGCCTTAAACCGAGTGAGTGAGGTTACCGAAGCCCAAACCCTCTCTCCCTATTTCTGGCTGGGGACTCAAGGGGCAACAAAGCACTTGTGACTTTTAAATCTTAGGTGTCCATATGCGACTGCAGTCACTTGCCATCAGGTGACCCTATATTATAATAAAAATCCTTTAAAAATAGAAGAAATAGATAGGTATCTATTGTCAAGCATAGTAAATATCTTTCTAAGTAAACGCAATGAAAACTTTCAGTAGATACCTACATACATTATTTTCTGAAATGCTTTGAAGCTAAGTTTAACGTCACGCATGACTATTGTCAAATCATTTACTTTTTAAATATTAAAGCAAGACTGGACAACAATTTTCACATTATATTGAGCAAATGAATCTAAAACTAATTTGAGTATATATATATTATATACTCACACCTATATCCGCGAAGAGGTAGGAAAAAGTATTACACATCTACATTTTGCCAAGTATAATCTACTAGAACTAATCTACCAATCTATATAGTCTATTTTGGCAGGATTTAACAGGATTTTGTGTGCAAAAGGAGATATAAATTGAGTTAGTAAATGTAGTGCTTTAATGTTTGTTTAATGAGTTATTATAGTAATTTAATTCATTTTGGTATGTTTCATGACTTCCTCTTGTATACAGAGTGTTACAGAAAATAAGTGCAAGAGTTTAACTTTAGGAATTTTATGTGTAGGTACCTAACCTAAAAACAGATATTTAATTATTTTTCATTGTGAATTGATTTTTCTAACAAACCCAATAATTAACATCATCAATTAATTTTAAATTAATTTTATCAGTTACAAAATTATATTTGTTTTTGGAGACTAGTTCTACACCCTAATAAATGTATAGGTACCTACTGTAGAGAGTTCACGTTATTGCGTACTCATAAAACTTAAACAACATCTATTATTATTTCAATTAGTAATGTAATCTACAAACAAACTGCTAGTTGAGTAAATTAAATAAGTATAATACTGTTTTGCTTTTTAAAACATTTTATTAGTTTACTTGTAAGCTTGTAACTAATCAACAAACTAAGCAAATCTCTCTCTTTCTGTCTCCCAAAATTTATCTATTGATGGAACCATTAAACGGATCATAGACTTAATTTTTACTTTTTCATTCGGTTTGCCGAAACGTATTTTTTTACTATAATAATCTATAATTTACTACTGTCAGTATTTTTAACCGACTTCATAGTAAGAAGGAAATTCCTAGGATCTTTATTTATGTATGTTTCCCATTTTATTCGAAGACAGCTAAGAGATTTGGAAAATGCTGTTTTTATTAAACAAACAACGAAACAGTGGTAAGATGTAGGCTTTATCACATTCATTTCAAATATTAGATTATACGTCCTGCATTAAAAAGAACTAGGTAGAAATTTGAAGAACGAAGAACGAGAGTGTTCTGCCATTTACATAATTAGCAAAAGATGATTCTATAAAATCGTTCATCCAGAGTGTAAGCAGTGATTTATTAAACCAGCCACTTACAAATGTGTTAATAAATGTTATAGTGCAAAACACATATAGTGCCATCTATTGACTGTGTTTTGATACTAGGACACTAGTCGGTAGAACAAGGGACATTTCTTAGATGGTTTTCTTCTTCTGAGGAGTGTCTGCAATTATTTAAATATGTAGTTATACGCCAATAGCAAGAATTATTTAGCGGAACACGGAACACAGCGGAAGGAAAGAAGACTGTGTTTCTAAGAAATAAATTGATTTAATTACTATTTTATTGTGAATTACCAATTGGGAATGAAGAGAACTGACAAAAAGTTTAGAGTTCTGCGACAAAAGCTATTTCGCAGAACCAACTTAGTTTGTTTTTTATGTTAGAGGGGGCAGACGAGCAGACGGATCACCGCCCATTGCAGGCGTAACTCAGGAGTCACAAACGCGTTGCCGGCCTTTTGGGTAAGAGGTTTGAAGGTCGTATCGGTTCGGAAATACCGCGTTCCACAGATGCAATGCGGGGCAAAAAGTGTCTCGAAAAGCACACTAGTGGAGCTCCAACTATCCAGGTGATGAGGATGAAAATTTTGCCGTGTGGAACAATGGTGGAAAGTTGCGGCTGGTATTAGTCCGAACAATTCTTCGAAGCACTCTCCATGGTATATGCGATAGAGAATGCAGAGTAAACCCACATCCCTACGTAACGCCAAGGGATCGAGCCGATCGGAGATGTTTGGGTTATCGACGATTCGAGTCGCTCTTCGTTGGATGCGGTCCAGAGGGGGAAGCTGGTACTGAGATGCCCCTGCATAGAGATAAGAACAGTATTCCATATGCAGCCAGACTTGGCCTTATAGAGCTGAAGGCGGTGGGCCGAAGTGAAATACTGTCTCGATCTGTTCAGCACACCGAGCTTCTTCGAGGACATTTTGACTTCGCTTGATATGTCGATCTCTAGGATTCCGATGCTGGCTAAGGCAGTTAGGGAGGTGCTCTCAAACGAAGGTGATACGACAAATGGTATCTTTGCGGTGAACGCATAGACCTGTGTCTTTTTTGTCTAGACTAGATTTAGTCGGCCCCAATTAGAAATCTCCGCTAAGGAAGTTTCAATTTCAGACACAAGTTTGTTTCGAATCTTGATGACGTTTCCCCGAGGAATATTGGGGCGGCCGGTGTAAAGGGCATCTCCCGTGCTATATCATCTGCATAGCAATGGATGCTACTAGTTTGATATGCAGAAGAAATAGTGTGGGTGACAGGACACAGCCTCGTGGGAGAAAAGCATTTACGAATTTCAAATTAAACTGAACTTTTAAAACCCAAGATGGTCCCCTTTTAAAAAAACTTTACAATTGAAGGCTGACTTACCTAGATTTCGGTACAAACTCGTATGTATGTAATTTAGCCAGGTCGGGTCATTTTAAGTGATCTACTTTCAGTGAACTTACATGCCCTTAATATAGTTTGCCATGTATTAAAAAAAAAAGGTTTATAATTTCACAACAAAATCTTTCTCGTATTTTTAACCGACTTCAACAACACAAAAGAGGAGGTTCTCAATTCGACTGTATCTTTTTGTATGTTTGTTACACGATATCTTCGTCAATTGTGGACCGATTTTCAAAATTGTTACCGAAAAGGAATGGTCCCATTACTACCAAATCAGGATCTGATGAAGGGATCCCAAAGAAATTTAGTGAAACCCTCAAATGTTACAGTCCAGACAACGTGTTTTAGGTTGTTTTTCTAGCTATACAGGTAGGTATTTGCGTTTGGTATTCGTTATCTCATGTTGCTGAGCTGATGATGGAAGAGTCTGAGATTGCCCTTTAGGAGTTAAAATATATAATATATTCATGTATTGACCTTGTTTTATTCTTTCAAGATAAAAGGTGTCTCAGTAAGAGTGCACTTTTTCATTTTAAAATAAAAACACGTATTTAATGAAAGAGTTGTGATATTTTTATTGGATTGTAAAGAAGACTTGTTTCGATTAAGAATGGAATAAAATATCCGGCAAATGGCCCTCACGGCTCTGATGACATGCCATTACTCTTTTCATTAAATTTTCCATGACTTTTACACAGAGATATGACTGTATCTCACCGATGACGCGTTGGATCTCTGATTGAGCTCAATAATTGTTTCTGGTTTATTCGCATAAACCCGAGATTTCACAAAACTCCAAAAAAAAGATCGGACGGCGTTAAATCAGTTTTCGATTTTTTGAAGTTGAGGCCACAAGAACTCCGTTATCATATTCCTGTAACGAATGCCGTTCACAGTCACTGCAATTTCGGCCTCACCTTAAAAAAAGAAAGGCCCAATCACGCCGCCTGACGAAAATCCGCACCAGACAGTTGCTCATTGTGGGTGCATTTGTTTCTCATGGATTGCATGAGGATTTTCTGAGGCCTAAATTCAACAATTTTGTGGATTCACGTAGCCATTTAGATGGAAATGCGTTTCATCGGAGAGATCTTTTGTCAAAATCCGCTGCGTTATGCTTCGTGAAATTTGAAGTTGTTGAGAACGATGCCGAATTGCTGTTTTCGGGTTTTCGGCGACACTCTCTTTTACAGCAGCAATGTTTTCAAGAGACCGACCGGTACGTTGACCCAAAGGATTCTTAATATCTATAATCATATTTTAAATTATTAATTTATTATTCAAATGTTTTGACCACTCTTGGATTGGTTGACACATTAGGTGCACTTTCTCGACTAAAAATTTCGCGAAGTTTGCGAGCGGCTTCAGCGTAACTTTCCTCATTTTTATAATGAGTTTTCACCAATTATAACGCGTTGTTCCTTCGAAAAGCGCTCCATTTTTAAATGGTAAATGTTCTCAGAAAATTCAAGGAAACGAAAAAACTCGAATATGTTTTTTTTTATTCTTATGTAAAATTTTGAGCTATTTATTAAAATTTATCTTTTACAAAAACTGTATTTTTTTTTTTCAAATATTTATTTTTCGCCTTATTTTGACTAAATATCGAAAAAGCACGCTAATTTTCAATCGAAAATTCTACAGTCAAAATATCTAATTTTTTGAAAAAGTCGGTCCTTTTTTTCATTAAAATCTCAACTTTCTGATGGTTTAAAAAAAAAATCATTTACTATGGTAAGTGTTCCCAGGAAATGCAAAGAAACGAAAAAAATCTCGAATCCGATTTTTTTAAATTATAATGTACAATTTTGACTATTTATTAAAATTTACACTTTAATTACTCGAAAAACGTAAGATTCCATGTTATATTGATAAACAAAAAAGTTGCAATTCCATAAAACATAAAGATTGCAAAAAACATGCGAAAGTGTTGTTCTAAATATTAAAGATAGGGGATTATAGGGAAGATAGGGGATATTAAAAGGAATTTCATAAAAAAAATGTGACTGCTGCAATTCGATTTTAATTTTTTAGGTTATGTTAAACTTACTATTTTGCTACTTTTTTTCCATAGGACTTGTAGTTTGGCCGTTTTTTCCTCTAAAAACTCACCCCCTTCCACTTCCCGAGCTCAGATCATCCGTAAATTATTTTTCCTTTCATTTTTGTTATATTCTCTTCATTTTCCAATGGGTTTCTTCCTACTATTTTTTTTTTCACTTTTTACCATTTTCAAAGGCCCTGGTCTAATCTATGTATACCTGTTGTATTGACACGCTTATTTCAGTTTCTGCAATTAGATTTGTAATTATTTTTAGTGCTCTTTCTTGGTATTGTTTGAAGTCGATTCCACTTTTTTCTAAAAGGATTTATTTATGTTGACGTAGTAGTTTTTTTGCGACACTGCCGCCGAGCAGTCGAAACGGACACAAAAGATTTATTTGCGTTACTTGTGCAGTGAAACTAGGATTCTAGATCCGTGGGAAGTTTCCAAGTTTCAAGACGCCTTGGAAGATAAAATATGTAAAATATTAGATTAAATGGTCATTGATGTTTTAAATATAATGTTAATCTTGTATACTTGAACTTGCTGCCAACTGCGGCTTTGTGAGCATATTTCTGTAAAACTTTTTATAAATTTTACTCCAAGTTCAGCTCAACCGTTTATTTTTTTATGAAAATGGAAAAGTCCTGTTTTGTCTGATCTTTGATCGTTTTATTTTTAGATAAAAACATCTCCGGATTATCCTTATTCTATATACAACTATTTTTATTGAGCAAATAAAACACCTTTTTATATAAAGTCGTATAAGAATTTATTAACAAAGATATGACACTGCGTGTCTTAAGGTACAATGTTTGGCTTTTGACTGCGCCCGCGCTTTGGACGCCACTTCTATATCAGCGGCGGATGCTATACGCCGAAGACTTAGCACGCTGGATCTTTTTTAAGAGTATCTGGAAAATATTACAAATAACAAGGGTTATAAAAATATTTTTTACTTACTAAAAGGATGTGGAAACTACCATGCTCGCGCCTCCTTCATCAGCATAAACTTTTAGAAGTTTCTGCCTGAACTGTCAAAAAATTCTAAATTGTTTGTAATTATATCCAACGGGTGCATTTACTTTAACTTTAAAGCTTAATCGAATTAAACTTGGAAGAAAAGTGAATCTCAGATAAATGTACCCACATCTAACAGCAGAGGATAATGAAGGTGTAGGTTCAACTTGTTTATCTGCCATTCTTGGCATTTATTAAGTTTCTAAAATGTGTAATATCCAATATCCTTAATGAATTAAATACTTGGCGAACGTAAAAATATTTTATACCACTAAGGTGGCAAACAAGCATACGGCCAGCCCGATGGTAAGCGGTTGCCATAACTTATTTACACCAGGTTTGTCACTCGTTTGTTGCTGACCCTGTAAAATAAACTTTTTATGTTCCAATCACCCGACACAATAAACGCATCCAGGTTATTACATGCTTTTGAGAGCCATCTTTCAGTACATATGCGCCAGCTCCACCGGAAACATATCACGACCGCACAGAACCGGTGTTAAGCAGTTTTTTCGTTTTTTTTTTACCGACGGCTTTTTACCATCATGTGACCCGTCTCCTCGTTTACCCCCTATTCCATTCAAAAGTCATTCTATATAATCGGCCACAGAGTAATTTTTTGCGAACACTGCTACTCCACTGAAAAGAGGCAATAGTGAGACAATAAATATTGTGCGCATCGTCAATATTGACAAAATAAATTCGGGAAAGTTGCAAGCTGAGGCCAAAATAACAACAAAAGGTTTTTATTTGCGTTTCTGTTAGTTACTCGGATGACATTTCCATATATATATATATATATGTTTCATATATATTATAGAAATCAAATATAGCTCATGTAGGACCCGTAATATTTTGTGGCCGTGGTGCTTCCCTGTTTAAAAGGGTGTATGCCTATTTTACTTCATTTTGTCTCCCGCTTTGCTAAGGAGGGAAGTGGATTTCCTGTATTTCCAACTCCTCCAATTTTCTTCTGATTAATTTCGTTGCGGGTTCCAAGACAGTTTAATTTCTTCCTAGGACTTCCCGAGTGTCATAACTCGGTGTGTTCGTGGGTCACTGCTGTGGATCCTGGTGTACAGGAGTTACAGTGGTGGGCGTGTGGGTGGGATTAGTCCCAATAAAAAAAAAATATATATGTTTCAATTTTCTAAATCTAACTTACCATATTATCGTGATCGATCTGTTTTTGTTTATTTTTCCTAGTTACTGCTGCTGATGGTATAGGTTTTCTTGGGGCCTGTTCTGTGGGCGGTATAGAGGATTTCTTAGTGTTTCTAGCACTTAGTATCTTTGTCAGGAGTATATGGTTGTGCCTTTGGATCTCACGTAAGCGATCGTTTGTAAACGACATATTCATACGACGTGTTGAGGGGACTGACACTGACCTGTAAAAACGTACAATTAGTTTATTAGTATACATATTTAACATGTGTATATATAATCGTTTTGCTAAGAATAAGAGTTAAGAAAAATCAACACTATTGTCCCTCATTGCACACAAAACAAATTTGTTCTTGTTTAAAAACTATATGATAATTTAAACAACGAGTTTACTTTAGTTGTCTCGGGCTGTAGAAATCGACATGAATGAAACACGAAAAACAGATTTTTTACTTCAACATTTTTGTTTTTAATACAAAAAAATACATTGTGAGCAAGTACCATAATATGAACACGGCAATATATTATTATACATTTACATATTGTGTGAGAATTGTAAATAACTTCTTCACTATAATACATTTGCAATTTCCCTTGCTGGGTTTACCTACATCATTTGTCATAATATTTCAGAAAAAAAGATGATATTTTGAATTAAATCACAGTTTGTTTTTTTTACCTTAAGATGCTTAGTTCGAAAAATATTCTTAGGAAAGATGTTGTGCCTTCCAGCTAATATTCTGACTAGCAAAAGTCTCCTACAGTTAGATCACTCTCTTTCTCCGCGTATTTCTAAGACTATCACAGAGTACAAAAGAAAAACTGGAATGTCGGATTATTGTTGGTTCATCAATGGATTTTTTAGTATAGAGGTTTGGAAAAATAGACCTGTGACAAGACCTTGACTAAACACGGTTTTGGCACATACCTGCTTTTGACCAAAACCGTAAACTTTATCGACACCGGGAGTTTGGAGGATAACAGTCTTTAATCGGACCTACAGGTAAGTAGGTTTGATTACCCCTTAAATGGACAGGTTCGCTGAAATCAGCGGAAGGACCTGTGTGCGGCTGTTGGATTCCGCAGCACCTCAACAATAGTAACTTAAAGCAAGAATTAAGTAGAATTACCGGGGAATCCATCCAGAGGATGCTAACGAGATTTATAATCTTACCAACCATTTCCACTACCAGTGCTTTAAGTGGGATGGGTTTAGTTCCTATTTAAAACACTTAGTTGGGTCGATTTCTAAGTCCCTAAAATGTTTGTAATTCTGATATTTTAAAGTCTCTAGAGATACCTGATATAGCCTTAACCTTGACATTTTGTTCTTTATCGAAAACAACTTACCCAAAACTAGTGGATCTGCCACTCGTAGAAACAGACGGCGGTGGGTTAGTATTAAACATAGTAGACTGACTCTTAGTTAATTTTAAAGTAGAGTTGGTTAGTATCTCTTCTCTTATGGTGTCACTCATGGAAGATTTCAGTTCAGTTTTTACAGTGTCCTCATCTTCCTCTCCCCCGCTGTTGTCATCCTCAAACTCGTCCGAATACGCGTCATCACCGCAAGTCTCAGACTTTTCATTTTCCGATTCGAACACGTACGATTCAACACAAATGTTAGGAGGCCTCTTGACTGCCCCCATTGTGCAGCCCATCTCGGACAGGTCCTTCGAAAGCTCATCGACCTCGTTATTGTTTTCCTCCTGGTATCGTTGGGATTTGACATTTTTAGAGTCTCCGGAAGAAAATTCTGTGTCAATATATTTCACATCTACATTGTCTCGGCGTGACATATTGCGGAAGCGTGCATATACCGTGGGCAGCTGCGAGAAAAAGTAAACAATCTAGAGCTACCGGTGCAACTTAACTAATTACTAAATTAACCTTCCTAATTTATTACAAGATGTTACACGCATAAATATTTACTTTAACCTATCTTTAAAAGTATCAGCTGGTGTTTAAGGTGAATATGATATTCAGACCACCGCACCGAAATAAGTACACCTAGGTAGCCATCATTTATTTAATTTACTGTTTATTTGAGTAGGGCCTCGGAGTAGTAATAACCTTTTCGATGCCGGACATCATATAAGACTGTAAACTGTTTATGCTTAAATACGTAACTACATATTTTTAAAGGAATACTACATAAATTTGCAAGCCTACAAATCTATAGGTATAGTCATAACGTAAGTGAAGGTCTAAAACTACGAAAGTCAGAAAGAAAGTCTACTTTATAGGAGCGTGTTATAAATGTTCACCTAAAGATGGAGTAAAATTTCGTGTCGGTTCTTCATATGTAGATGGAACTGTATTTTCAAGTTTTTTTGTAAACAAAAATTAAATAATGTGGAGCTATTTATTATCTCCAATAAAGTGTTAAATATATTCATGGACTATTTAGCAGGTTACGTATCAAATCAATATGTAATTCAGTGACTAACGCTGCGTTGACCATGTTAACCAAGTTAACTTACGCAGTGTCATTTTTATTGAAAAAATGAGGCGCTGTTGTGGTTGAAACTTTGCGTGTTATCTTTTTCGTCGAATGGTTTCAAAATGTTAAACAGTAAAAATATAACTTATGCACTGTTAAAACTTCACCGATAATAATATTTTTGCTCAAAGACCCACTTTTAACTTAGAATACCTATTTAGATTTATTTTTTTCCAACACTACGAATTTCATGTAAAATTGTTAACTATAGCCAAAAGCACTTAATGTTAGATAAGTAAGTATTAGCTATCTCAATATACTTACCACGTAATTATTATATGCAAGCGCCTACAAATAAACTTGTAGCAAATCTATAAAATTGTTTTGTTGCTCAATCGAATTATTACATATAATGTTGTTATAAGTAAACGATTGTTAAAGAAGCTTCAATAAGAAAGATCACAAATAAAAAGATAAGTTACAAAATTGTCAACAAACAACAGGCTGTGTCAAAAAAATTTGTTTCCAGAACCTTAGCTATGCACGAACCACAAACGACCAGTATCTCTTTAGAAATATGTTTGTAAAAGAGACTATGTTATTGTTAAATATTGACGATATCTTTTATAATTACAATAGCTTCTGAAAAATCGATACCGTACTTAGCGACAGCCAAACAAAAGTCGCGCGTCTAACGTAGGAGGTAGTGTTTGTATTTTTATATCTCTTTGGTTGCGCGGTTTTGAGTTTACGTTCCGTTTCCGTACGAATAATATATCTAGTCCAATGTACGCAGTGTTAGTAAAATAAAGGTTTTTAGGAGGAATATAGATATATCAAGATGTTAATTAATAATATTGGACTACACCTTTTTTTTTATTTGTTAGTAGTCTTTAACATTGATTCCTAAGCCAGAACCAAAAGAGCTTGTCAATAGCAAAATATGACATTTCAGAAATCAGAACCATTCACAAAAATTCACCTACTCATTCAATCGTTCCCAGCAAGGAAGGAAGGTACTTCTCGATGCTGGAATCATATCAGCAAGTTAAAGATTTTTTTGATAAATTCTGTGTTATTTAGTTAGAATATAATAGATGAATCATTAAAAATGGTGACTATTATAAAAAATCAATTGCTGAAACATCTGTCGAGGTACGTACGAGCCTTAATTTATTGCAATTAGTCTCGTCTCTCTTCAGATTTTATACCGAAATGTAATTAAATTAATTTGCAATGATTAACGTTAATTTTGGAGTTGGTTCTATACAATTCCCAATTGGTATGAATATCTCGTCTAAATCTCGTAATAAATGATAGTTGGCAGACGTACTGCACTTTGTTTGACATATTTATTATGTAGTTATTGTAACACCACAAGTATGAACTACTCTTGCTTGTTTTTACAAGTGATGAGGTGAAACTAAACAATGTCCTGCATATTTTTCACATTTAAAACAACAATAGAACAAAGAATTTTTCTTGATAATTAACTTGCCGAATACTTAAATATTAAACAATACTACATACTTATTTACAATATATTTGTAGATTTGATACAAGTTTCAATTTCAATGTAGAGATGAGGACCTTGTATAATATACTTTTGTTATATACAATTGCTTTTTATTATCGATACTAAATTTTATTATTTGGATGAAATCACAACAGTTTGTTTTGTGTTGAATGTTTGAAAATAATCTTCTTCGAAAATATTTACACAACTATTTATATTCAATAACATCAAGTTAGATTACAATTTAGACCTTAGGAAACCTTAAAATCGGAGTTCTCAGTTATTCATTAAATACAATTTTTTTTTTATACACATGTTCACCAAATGCTCAAAGATGGCTGGATCATTTCCAAGCATCTTTTTTTTATTTAAAAGTGTATACTTCCCCAGTGTTTACTTCTTCTAAGGGAGTAAACTATGCAGAACAAGAACACTGCAAAGAGAAGGAAAACTTTAAAACAAACCCTATACCAACCCGTCTGCACAGCGTGGTATAGTAGGCCAAAACCTCCTTTCTGAGGAGAGGCCTATGTCCAGCAGTGGGCTAGTAAAGACTGTTGATGATGATGATGATACTTCCCCAATAGTCCAATTGCTGACAGGTCAAGTTTTGGAAATGGAATCCTGGAGAAATCCAGGGAACACTTAAATTAATTATTTCAAATAAATTAAATGTGACATGCTAGTTCATAAAGTCAATTCTACAAAAAACCTTAATCATGTAGATCAGTCATATAGTGTTAATATCTTAGGATTACCTTAACACAACATAAAATAAATATTATAAATGTGGAAGTAAGTTTGTAAGTTGCTTGTTTGTTTTTCACTTTAACATGTTAACTAATGAATTATTTTGCACAAATAGTGTAAAGTATCTTTCATATAGAAAAATATTACAATACAAGGCACAATTCTTTTCTTTTCTTTTAAAAAGACAACTCTAGCATTAGGAATATATCCTGTGTCATGGGGGATTTTACAAACATGCATGAAACGGACACAAGGAACACAATAGACAATTGGGATGGTTCAACCGGTGATACTGTAGTCTAGCATAGAATAACTGATGCTAAGCAATTCTTCAATTGCATTTCATAGAGTGAGTGTGATTGCTAGAGCCCCATACCAAATTTTAGGCTTAGGGGCTTAAGGGTGGCAAGACACTTGTGACTCTTCATTGCAAGTGTCCATGGGTGGTAGTAGTCACTTACTCATTTGACCCATACACTATAAAAAAAGATCCTGTGATCTGAGATGATGATATAAGATCCTATCCTAATTTATAAGAATAAAAAAGCCCTTTTCTTCCGAATTCGCTACAGATTTGACAATACATATTTCCGAGTTCTATTTGTTATATTATGTCTCGCAATTCGGTGCGCCTCTTGGCATAGGCCTCCTCCAGCTCTCTCCACTGAGCTCTATCCTCTGCTACTCTATTCCAGTAAGGTCCCAAAGTTAGGCGGATATCGTCCATCCATCTAGTTTTCGGACGCCCCTTTCTTCTACAGTCCCCTCTTGGGTACCATAAGGTGACTTGTTTGCTCCATTTATTTATTTTGGAACGTAGCATATGTCCTGTCCAACCCCATTTTAAATGATCTATGCGAGTTATAATATCTGCAACTTTAGTTTTTCTTCTTATTTCAGAAATTCTAATTCTATCACTAAGTCTGAGTCCCAACATGCTCCTTTCCATTGCCCTTTGTGCACTAGCCAGATTTTCCCTTTGCTTGTCTGTTATCGCCCATGATTCGCAGCCGTATGTCATGCACGGGAGGATGCAGGTGTTGAAGGCCTTTTTCTTAATATGCATACCTAAGTTTTTGTTCTTCATTATTTCTTTTAGGGACCAGTATTTTTTCCATCCGCAAGCTATTCTTTTATTTATTTCTTTAGACATAGAGTCCTCCGGAGATATAATATATCCTAATTTACCTGTTAATAATAATAATAACTTCACACATGTCACACACGGCAGTCTGATTCATAACTAGGCAGAGCCGGTGCTATTTTAACTAGTCTACTAATAAACACACATACTTTACTAAATTTCTCTGACTGCATGGATGACATAGTGTTTTAAGCGGTCACCTCACTGCTTCCAACTGTGCTAAGTGATATGGGTTCGATCCCTATATAGGACGACACTTTGTGTGATCCACAAATTGTTCTTCTGAGTCTGGGTGTTCTTTGTGTGTTTCATGTCTGTTTATAAAGTTCCCAGTGACACAGGATATATTCCTAGTGCAGGAGTTGTCTTTTAAAAAAAAGCATTAAATAATTTAAATAGCAAAAGGGAACACAGTCTAAATTCAAATTAAGTTATTTGCTCTCAAATTGTTAAGAAATTAACATTTTAAATTCATGGTCAGTTTAGGTATAGTTTATATTTTTCTTAATTCGCACTGTCATATGTATTGAAATTAGTTATTAGATGTTGCCCGTCCATGTGGTGACGGATTAAGAATACAGTGTCACCGCCCCTATTCATCCCGTGGGTGTCGTAAGAGCCGACTAAGGGAGAAAACTACTCAGAACAACAGCACTGCAGAGAGAAGGAAAACTTGACACAAACCCTATACCAACCCGACTGGCCAGCGTGGTATAGTAGGCCAAAACCTCCTTTCTAAGGAGAGGCCTATGTCCAGCAGTAGACTATTGAAGGCTGCTGATGTGATTATATGTTATAATCCATAAATTAATGTGTAAAGAAATTTATTAATAGCCTATTTAAACAAAAATGGTCCACAGAAGCATATTCTATTTAGGTAAATCTCAATAAAGCATTATTAATTCACTAGGTACACAAAGAATCTGTCACCAGAACAGATCTCCCTGTCAGCGCTACGAGGGTCTGGTGAGCTTCAAGACCTTACATTAGATGAAGAATTACTGACAGATCTGCTGGAGCTTCCAGGATGGGTGCGGCTGACATCAGCTAAGTGCAACAGAGCTTCGTTCAGGATACAGTGGACTAAGCTAAAGACTGTGCCTATAGTTCTGGTAAGTTTGTTTCAATTTTGTTAACCATTACATGTTTATTTATCACTATTATTTATCTTATTGATTAGCTATCATTTTACAAACTCATATCTACATAGTTTCGAGTTTGCTAATATCTGACTAGGTAAATGCAAAAGGTAAATGATAATTATTACGAGTATAATTATCTTTTAAAAAAGTGTGAAACAATAATAATAATATATTTATTTGCTTCAAACATGTGTAGTTTACAGGAAATGAATCCTAAACAGTTCAATTGGTTAGTTTGTGTGTATCAACATGTTTTGCCATGGAAGGCGTACAAATATGAATTGATTGAGATAGTAATTACATTAGTTTAATAAAATATAACACAATAATCATCAATACAATAATATAATTATATGGGCTAGGAATGTCAAAAATGTCAAAAATAAAATAGAGTGTCAGAATTAAATGTCAAAATGAAAAAAATAATAATAAAAAAACTATAATATGTATGTCAAGATAAATAGTTACAGCTAAAGAGAAAACCTTGTAAAAATAATAATATAATTAATTAAGAGTTATCGTTTAAGTAGTCGTGAATATTATAATAGCATTTCTTAACCAACATTTCCTTAACTCTGCTTCTAAACAAATTATGATTCAATGACTTAAACTCTTTTGGTAATTTATTAAATATTTTGGGTGCCATACAGATTACACTACTAGCCAAATGAGCAGTTTTGGCACTGTGCATACGTAGTCGTTGATTGTCTCGTCTGTTGCGCTGAACTGTATCCGATAATCTTGGGAAAGATGTAGGATTATTTTTCACAAAGAGACACATTTCTAAAATATATAATGATGGAAGGGTTAAAATGCCATGATTACGGAAGTATGGTTGACAACTATCTGTAATTTTTAGTCCAAACATAGAGCGGATACATCGTTTTTGAAGCTTAAATATTGAAGATTTATTGGTTGAATTGCCCCAAAAAATTATTCCATATCTTAATACCGAGGCCACTAATCCGTGATATGCAGTAAGTAAGGTATCAACATTTACCGTGGGCGCAAGTTTATACAGAGCATAAGAAGATCTGCTTAATCTATCACTGACAGTATTTATATGTTCCTTCCAATTTAATTTTTTATCTATGATCAAACCAAGAAACCTCGTGTTAAATACTTCTCTTATTGCAACATTATCATAGTTTATATTCATTTCTGACGGGGTATCTATGCGCTTGCTAAAATACATTACATTCGTTTTATTTAAATTAATTTTTAAGTTATTGTTATTTAACCATGTAATCATTGATGTCAAGGTATTATTGATGTCATTTTCATATAAATTAGGATTTTTGCATGTCACTGTTAATGTACTATCATCAGCAAATAGAGTCATTGGATGCTCAGTAGAACAAGGTAAATCATTTATATAAATAATGAATAAGAGAGGTCCGATTACACTTCCTTGGGGTATTCCAAATTTTATTTTACGTTCAGAGGATGTATGTAACACCTCTGTTTTAGTCCTATTGTCCAATCTAGAGATCACAGTTACTTGTCTCCTGTCTGATAAGAAAGAATTCAAAAGATTTAATATGTTTCCCCTTACACCGTAGCACTCTAGTTTATTTTTTAATATTTTATAGTCTACATAATCGAACGCCTGCGTCATGTCGCAGTATATAGCACATACAGGTGTCCGTTTGTCCATATTAGTCATTATGTTTAATAAAAAATCATAAATAGCCTTATTAATGCTCATGTTTTTTCTGAAGCCTTTTTGCTGATGGCAGAATAAAGATTTTGTTTCAAAATATTTGTATATTTGATTATAAATATATTTTTCGAAGATTTTAGATATAATAGATATTAACGCAATAGGCCTGTAGTTACTAATTTGGTCCTCACTACCTTTTTTGTGCAGTGGTTTAATAATAGTTATTTTTAGACGTTCAGGGAAAACACCTTCATCAATACACAAATTTAAAATGTAACTAAGATGATGACATATCAAAAAACCCACGGATTTAATAATAACTGTCGCTATCTCGTCATGACCTACACTTTTCGTGTTTTTAAGTGATTTAATTATATGTAATATATCCATAGGTGTACTTGGGTACAAAAACATAGAGTCTTTTCTATTTTCTATGAGAGATGCGACTTTTTTTCCGTAATTTTGTACAGGTACAACTTTATCTATAAAGTAATTATTAAAAGTGTTTGCTAACATTAAAGGATCTGTAATAGGATTATTGTCTAGTTTTATCTTCTTTATGTCACATCGAGGTACATTGTATTTATTGTTATTAATTATTTGCCATGTAGCTTTGGTTTTGTTGTCGGAAGTTTTTATTTTATAACAGTTTTGAGCTTTTTTTGTTAACGCTATAATTTTTTTAAACAATTTATTATATTTCTGATAATTCATGTAATTATTTGGTGTACGTTTGTATCGGTATGTCCATAAAAGATTCCGTTTCTTTTTACTGCATATTTTAATACCATGTGATATCCATTTTGGTGTCTTGTTAACCTTTATGGTAATCAAACGAACGGGAAAGCACAAATCATAAAATAATTTGAATTGATCTATAAATAAATCGTAGGCTTTGTTCGCGTCATCTACCTTATAAATATCCTGAAGAATGCAAAGGAAAAGTTGTCAAAGTCTAATTTCTGTATTTAATATACACATTACATACAAATAACTAGATGTTATCTTATCACAAACTATTGGTGAATTTTAATAACACTATTTTTACTGTTTCCACCTCGTACCTAATTAATTTATTTATCAATCTCTGCAACATGTTATTAATTTTTTTTAGGGATGTAAAGAATACTGCAATTGAAAACTATAAACAGTATTATTATTTTCTTACAGGAAATATATAGTGCAAAACATTTCATGATAATTATGGCGCTTAGATGAGTGTGTTTTAATTTCCTAAAACCAATCTCATTATTAAAAAAGTAATGATTCAAAATTGGAAATAAATTTGTTTGTTGATGGATGATCCATAGTCGAAATAGTGAAAAACGACGCCTGTTATGAGGAGAGCCAGCGAGTCAAATCACTTTTTTTTTTAAATAGTTCAATCAATTATTATAAAGGCAGCAGCAGCAGCTATGTATTATGATTGTGATATATGGGCTGAATCGATCCTAATATGTGCTGAATGACTCGAATAAGTGCATTTTCTCAGCCTAGGCTTTCGAAGTGCGACGTGCGCATACGCCTCGAATAGTGAGTGTCTGGCTACGTCCACAAGTACGCTTTGATTATGGAACGTTGGGCGACATACGCTGGCTCGCCTTCACACTGCGTAGCACATGCCTCGCCACGACTATGAACGTCCACACATTGCGTAGCATGCGATGAACGATGGTTCTCTGCACATGCCTCACAATGACCGTAGGTCTATGCACATAACTAACAAGAAGTACGTATTAAAACTATGCGTACGTATAAAGACAATCGGGGAATCCCAAACCAGTAAGCGCAGTATTTTTTGTTTTTTAGTTTGCCGGTACATTAGTCGCTGCCAGTTATTTGAAACTACCACAAAAACAAACTTCTTTTGTCACTAGTTTTTATATGCTAGTTTCCAAGTATTATTTGAAAGCCAATAGTTTTTAAGCTTCTGTCAAATGGAGACATTATTTATAATATAATATAAAACTTTTCAACTCAATAAACCGTTTAATGGCTTGTATCATGGTAACCAAACTACTATATAACCAATTACTAACTATACTACTATTTTGCACTATTTTGCACTACCATTTTGATATGGATGATATTATAAACGCATTACACCCAAGTGAGAAAAAATCGTTCTCATCTCACAAAGATTTGTCTTGAATCGAGCTCTCGTTCAGCAGTCAGAATAAAATTTAAATTCAGTAAAACAGGTCTAACTAAAACCGGTTTAGTATCTGTTCATCACACAAAATGACGTATTTCTAATTATCATCTATCTTTTTGCTGAACATTTAGATAATTTTTCTGTACGTTTGTACGATTCATCTCAATCATAATAACATGTAAAAAGTAGACTAGTACTTTGCAAGACGCAGAACCAACGCTTAGTTCTTGTTGTTCTGAAACTATCTAGGTCCATAGTTTATATGAATATTTTTCTTAGCCTTTTGAGAATGTTCAAAGTTTTGTGTGTTGTTTCCTACTATTTGTAGAAACATCCAACTTTGACGGGCAAACAAGGTTATGAGCCTTCAAAAACTGCATCCGAGTGCATTAATTCCGGAGTGTTATTCCTTTCGCTACAAGCAAAGAGCAGATCCTATTTTTTTAATGATTTCAGCTTTATATGAATATAACATCCACTTAGTACATTTTCCCTTCCCTGCTCGCGATAAAGCTATGCAAACCTTACTGTATTTTAATTGTACCTACGTAAACAGTCATCCCGACACTAAAGTCACAATCGTCGCGAATCACCAGTTAATAGTCCCATATTTATTGAAATATTATCATTTACCTACAATATTAATCAAATATGTTACGGCACTTTCTAATATAATAAAATTTCTAATTTTATTCTATTTGAAGCAAAAGTCTGCTTTTAATAAATGCCCTGTGGTGTATTTAAAATACTTAATATTTTGTTTAGGTAAATGTTAACGTTACAATTTTTTATATTAATGTAAAAGGTGTTAACTTCAAAGCTATCAGTGTCACAAACACTGTTATCAGGAACAAACAGTAAACATTGTCTACCATGTGCATAATTATTTCATACACTGTACAGATAGGTGTTATTTTAAATATTGTATTTTCGTTGCTAATGTTGCTATCTGAACGATTATGTGTTAAAAGATTTATTAGAGGTCAATGAACTTTTTTACGTGTTATGAAAACACCGAAATAAGGTTTCTTATGAGATTTTATTTGCAGAAATTTAATCAGCCTAACTCCACAACTATTTATTCGGACTGTCAGACACTATCACATGCTGACTCCAATCATTACAAAACATTTTGCCAAGTAACATTCACAC